AGCAGGAATACTTGATTACCGACATATAGACGATTACTTGTGTAAGCCAAAGACTAGTATTTTTCTTTTTTAGACTACTAACACGATCACACTCGTGAGCCTGCCCCTTCACTTTACCTGAAAATGATGATTTCATCAGCAGTTTCTTGCCTTCTTTTGTACTGCTGTAGACAAATGCAGCAGTAATCCTGCTTTGGGGTAAGCCCTCTAGTGACAGAAGCTCTTAGGTTACACAGGGACCAGTGGAGATCGTGGTTTAAAAGATTCGTAGTTGTCTCTAAAAGGGTCTGTGTGAAAGACAATACACAGAATAACCAGGTCATTTTGTCATCTCCAGACTGCAGAAATTCCACCCTGATCAATTCATCATAACAAGCAGCTTAGCAGATTACTAAAAGCAAAAACAAAGAAAATCGATTCTCTTTATGTTTTGTAGCCACTACCTCAAAATACTTATCCTTTTATCATACATTAACGGAGACAGTATCTCTTCACTCTTAAATAAGCACTTCATTGATTTTTGTCCAAGAGCACTAAAAGAGATGTGGTAGGCTCATTTTGTGGTCTTCCATACTTCTGATTCCCCTTGTTGTCTCTACCTGCTAAGCTGCTGCCTATTTCCCCCATTTTACCAGATATGGGCAGATAAAAATCAAAGCCCAAATGCACTATCACAATTAAACTATGGCGGGGTAGGGGGAACCAACCCTCTCATTTGCTAGTTCTCCCCAGCTGAGATTTCGTTTCTGAAAAGGCAAAAGTGGAATCTCTTTAGTTCGTAGAGGTTACTGCTTCCTTCAGCAGCAACAGAACAGGCAATAGGGATAAATGCTCTGGTCCATGACTGCTTACGGCAATTTTCAGAGGTTGCACCTGTGGTTCCTTAGAAAGGCAAAGACCAAAGGGCACAGCCTGGTCCAGATATGACATGCAGCCTGTACCAGACAACCGCTAGGCCAGATCTAGACAGACTAGAGGGCTGTGCTGCTAAAAGCAAACCTTCCCCAAGAGCCCAAAAGACAGATGACCTCTCTTTACATTCAACCCTCTACAATAAAGCTATTTTCCATTTTATTTCTAAATTGGATGATGATGCCACACTGAGTCCTGAGCAGCAGCCAAGATGGCAGCGCCATATGGTAGGAAGAGTTGAGGAAGGGTTTGGAGAAAGACTATGTATTCTGTTTTAGGAATAAGGAGTTTAGAAAACAGCTGAAGGTGCCACCATCAGGTGGCAAAGTATAGCATTACTATGGGGAAGTAGCAGAACAGCATAATTTAAAATATACTTATTTAAAATCTTGTAAAAAGGCAAACCATTATTGTTTTTGTGCCTTTGAATCCCTAACTGGAAGATGAGTTGGAGAAAAACCAGGTGTTTATGCTTGCAGCGCATGTTAGCGTAAAACTCAACTACAGAGGTGTCCACATCACGATGTACCTGCCAATCCCTTCACCTGCAATCTTGTGAGTAATACAGACTCATCCTCCCTTTTGCCCATGTCTTCCTGATCACATGAATATATATCACCTGCATGTCCATTTACTTTGCTGTGCAGAGAGAAATGGCAAATGAGAGAAGGCAGAAATCTAGATAGCTAAAAATAATCTCTTTATGCCGCAGCGGACAGCAAAGAAATGCATGCAACTTACTTGTTCATAATTAAAAGTGTCCAACATGCCCAGGACAAGTCCTTGAATTTCTCCAAGTTTCCCTTTTCCATAAATGGGATCCTGTGCAAAGAAATGAAAAGTTGTAGGTGAATCACACATGACCATACATTCTGGCTTTTTAATTTGCAGATGGGCATCACAAATTTAAGTCACGATTCCAGATTTAAAGACATGCTGTACATGCACAAGGACAGCAGAATAATCCTACGTATTGGTGGGAAAAACAGTAATTAGCAAATACGATTAGCTGACAACATCAACGCTAATGACTGCGTTTGGGTCACGAGACTTCAAAAGTGACCTTGTAAACTTCACTTAGAAGATGCAAGAGCTGAATGGAGAACACATTTGAGGAATATCAAAGGACACAGCAAAAGGAACCCTTGCAGCAACGGAGGAGATCTCAGCCCTGGCCACGTTGCCACCTGACACTGAGTGCTAAGGGCATCTGCTGGTTAGCGGGCTCCGGGGCGCCTGGTAGGGCCCCGGCCCCACACTGCGAGTACACCCTTGTCTGAGTCAGTCAGTCATCCACTCCTGCATCTCCGCTCATCCACAGATCACCCCCAAACTCATTCAACACCCGCTCCGCTGCAGGTTGTAAGAACACAGATCCAACAGGCAGTGCTTGGTGTTCAGGAATCTTGGGCAATTTTTGGTCTCATATCATAAAAGGCAGAAAATTTAGGGAACACAGGGCCGCTGAAGGGGCGCAGGGCTTTTTTCCTGCTGCAGGGATGGTTTCTGCGTGCCCCAGTAGCCCATCTCCGTGTCCCAGCAGCAGGAGCAAAGGGTTGTGGTACAAGTCGTTGCCCTGGTACAGCTCAATTAGCTTCTTCAGGCCTGCTCCAAAACCAAGCATCCCCTTCTCTTCCCTGGCACCCTCAGAGGCGCCGCTCAGCACAGGACAGGAATCCTGCTCAAGGGTGCAGCTCTCTTTGCCTGGGGTGAACTTGGTAAGCTGCCCTTTGGGAGCTGCTCTCCATGACAGGATGCAGCCCCTCAAGCAGGCAGAGAGGGGCAAGGCGCTGGAGGAGGGGAGAGCTTCTGCAGCACCCTCCTGGCCTGCCAGGCCCCGCTGCACAAAGGGAGAGCGAGCTCTGACTTGGCATCATCCCTGCCCTGCTCACGGGCAACTGCACCAAGCCAGGAGATCCCTCTGCGCAACCACCAGTTGGCTGACAGCTCCTAGTGGCCACAAGCATTAGCACCCACTTGGACTAGTGTCTCCTGGGCAAAACCGGCCCTGAACGGCCTCTCCACACAGCTGCATGGGTGCCTACCCCTACCAACACGCAACCCAGCACCACTTCCGGCACGCACCCGCCAGGAACGCAACCTCCTCCTGCTCCTCTTTGCAGCAGCAACGCCATCAGACTAAAACACAACACAGTGATATTTTTGCTAAAGAACAGGCCCTACAAGCTGCTGGCTAAGCAGCCCAGTAAACGTAAAGGGGAAGCAAGAAAGAGCAGGCAGGTTAGTAGCAGGATCTACCGCTGCAGTGGTGCGATCCGTTTGGTGCAGCCTGACTTCGTTTCTGTCTCTTTGGCCCAGGCAGTCTGATCCGCAAAAGAGCGAACCCAGCCCCAACCTCCACGCACACACATGCCAACCACTTGGCACCAGCGGGGCTCACAACGCGCCTGTAAGCAGAAGAAGCAAGGATGCAGCAGTGGTCAGGGGCATCCGTTCTGTATAGCATACGGATCCCAGAGACTGACAGTCATTGAACCGGACCTAGAGAAAAGCATTTTGCCTTGCCTAACAGAAGGCACACGGGGGAAACCCTGCTGAAAGCACCAAGTAGAGGCTGACTGGTGGAATGGGCATGAGACCAGCAAAAAAAATAGGGAAGATGGCAAGATGTGAGCAGGAAACTAACCCAGACACTGGAAAAGTGAGGGAGGCCCAATGGAAACAGGAGTGGAAGGAGCTGGATAAGCAAACTCAGGCTAAGATGAATGAAAAAGGAGAAGGGTCAAGGTTGACTCAATGCTGGGACTGAGAGTGAAGGAGAGAAAGAAGAATCAACAGGTAAAAAGTCAGCCAGCAAAGAAGGGTAAAGGAGCAAGGAAGTTACACGGTGAGATACCTAGAGAGCTCACCAAAACTGCTACAGAAAGCAGGTCAGGCAATTATGAACAGCAACCACCTCACTAAATGCGACAGGCAGAAATGCCAATGTTCAGGCCCAAATAAAAACAGCAGTGAGTAATATCACTTGAGTCAGAAACAGCTGTAGATTTGGAATACACAGAAGAGCTCAAGATGCTGCCAAAGCTACTTTTTTTGCTCAAAAGACACTAAGTTTTCTTTCTGTATGCATAATTTAAAAGCAACCGCATGGAAAGGACACTACACTGAGTCACCGCATGAATTATAGGGAGCAACAGGGAACTCAGGACTTCCAGCACGGCTTATGCGTGAGCCACGACATACAGCAAGTTATTTTTGTATGCACCAGCTATTCACTTTTCTAAAGCACTTAAGTATACAGACAGGTAACTCGCAAACTACAGATGCAACCGTTTATATACAGCAAGTCAGGCTTTCCAAAGCTGTGAGTAAAGATTTTCAATGCAACTCGTTTCCTCTGTTGGTAAGAGCAGAAGAGGAAGAGAAGACAGGAAGGAGAGAGAGGAATGAGCCACCTACAGCTGGGCAGATAAGGAACGTGAGTCCGAGGGCCAACTTCCAGTTGTTCAGTCTTTCTCACGTCATGTTTGACAATCTCTAAAAAAAATGGCAGGCAGGAAGAGCCTTATCTCCACCAGGGAGCTGTTTGTTTCAGTAAAGCCTAATACCTAGTCTAGCAGTCAAGCGCAAGTGGTGAAGTTCATCCACGTTTCCTGTTGGCAGCCACAAAACACAGTGCTGCACCAGCCTGCATTGCAGTTGTTTACCTGCCTTGAGTATGAAACGCAGAGCTATACCTTCAGGTTTCTGGCAAGTTATAATCCTCTCTGCCAGTTTGCTGGTTTCAACCCCCACAAAAATCTACAGTCACAAGAGCCTTTCGGGATCAGGTGTTTTTTCATGGAGGAATATGTTTCATTAATTCCACCTTATAACATTTGTCTTTGTTTGTGACTTATGCATGCTCCAAATACACTGTACTGGATGGCACATTAATACAGTAAGATGCACCAAGTCAAGAACAGATCACAGCTACTGTTTCAGGGCTGATCTTTCCCTGGATACATGGGAACCCTCAGCATGGCGCGCCAAAGCCACATCAGCTGCCCAGCACGGCTACTGACAAACACGTCAGGAAAAGCTGGCAAGCATCCACATCCAAGCCAGAGCTGCACGTGCAGCCTTCCAGCCAGCTCTGCCTCCTTCTTTGCTAATCGGTTTGGATGGAGGTCCCTCAGCCCTCGCAGAGCTGTGCTCATAAATGCATTACGAACCCGGAAGATGCATCGCTTGCAGCTGAAGCTCCATCCCATTTGCAAGGGGAGAGAGCAACTATTGGACATAAGCTAATCCCAATCCTAATCCTGCACTTTCAGTAGAAAAGAAAAAAAGAGGCAAGAGGCGAGAGCAGAGAGCCAGGAAGAGAGGGGAAAACAGGAAGAAGGCAGAACCCCAGGCAGGGATGGAGAAAATTCAAGCAGAGCCTTTTTGGTCTTTTTGCTTCTACTTTGTGGCAACTTGTAGAGATTCCTTCCTTCCTTCCTTCCTTCCCCCCCCAGTTTGGGGGTCCTACTGGTAGAATTTAAATTTCCACCTTCTCCAGTTCTTCATTTTGTAGGAGGCATCAGCTGCATCTGCTTACAAAACACTCATGAAGGATCACAACTTTCTAAGGGAATGAACACTCAGTCTTTCCACCCTTTTCAGACAGTATTCACATCCTTAATGACACGACATTTCTCTTTATGCTCAAGGGGATTCCTCTAGTATCTCTCCCAATCCAGTTATTTCAGACTTCCTATTTAACAAATAATCTTCTAGCATTATAAAGGACAAGCAAGAACATAAATATATCAATCATTATTTCATAAAATTTCAATTATATAAAGTTGAGTCAACGTGCGATAAGAAGCAGATGCCAAGAACCTACCTACTTCCTGTGACAGCAGCAGAGTCTGGTTGTAGCCCTTTGCAAGGTGCCCTTGAGCACAGCATTCTGCTTGCAAACCAAAGTTAACATTTGCATAAGGTATAATCTCTGAGCAGTTAAGCCCAGAAGAGGAAGAAAAACAGTCCACTAAAATTGGAATACTCTAATTCCTTTTCCAAAAAAGGAAGATAATCTACCTCAGTTTATTGATGTCATTCACCTTAACAAATAAAAAAAAAAAAAACCCAGTTAATTCCTGGGCAGCTGTTCTACTTTCCAGACCCGCAGCTCCAGTGCATCTATGCTCTACCACAAGGACTTGACCTCTGCTGGAACAGCTTTTGAGGGCATTTCTGAGACTTCTCAGGCACCCCTGCTAATTTGGAGTTTCACAGAAATGGGTTCAAAATGGGTTTCACACGGGTTCAAAAAGCAAGCACGCAACTTTGCAGAAGGGGTGCCTGCCCAGGGCTAATAAGAGAGAGACGCCAACGTCTAGCTCAGAAAGCTGCTCAGAAGAGCCATTCAGCAGAGCGTTCTGGGGAACACCGCCACGTATGCGTGCCACGTTGTCACTCTTCCCCGCAGGGCGCTCAAACGGCACTCCCAGATAATCCAAAGGAGCAGATGACAGGTCACGCTACACAGGAAGGTAAGAAGCCCACAGTGCTCCCTGCTGCCTGACACATGCGAAGTTTCTTTCCTGATCCGAAACACGGCAAGCGTTGAGAACCCATCACCTTTCCCAACATCCTCTTCCAAGCTGAATTCAAAGCAACCTTCTTCCAAGGGCCAAGCTACACACCAAAAGAAAACTGTCCCACAGGCAGCCAGTACAAGCCCTGGAGCAGGAGTTTAATGCAATGCAGCTACAACACAAGCAAAAATGACCCAAAGTAGCGTTGTCTTTCAGTTGTATGCAACCCCATCTAGAGACTTGCAGCAAAAATAAAAGCTGGTATAAACACAGTGCGAGTGGAAACGTATGTTTTCTAAGTGCAAGAAACAGCAGAAAAAAGGGTTAAAAGAATGGTCTGCACTCGTAACAAAGGACACTGTTCCCAGCAGCAAAGCTGAGGAAGGTGCTGTGTCAAGCACAGAAGCTCCAGGCTGGTAAGACCCCAGCACAAACAAGTTATCAGTGGAAGAGCCTAGATCCCAACGTGAGGAGAACAGCAGGGCTGCATATCAAACAGAGCATCTCCCTTTCTGTTAGCCCAGCAAGAGGACTGACTACAGACATGTATTTCAAACCCATATTCCAAACGAGGTAAAACAGAAAACGGCAGTGATCCGGCCTGTGATTTACGGCAGCCAAAGTAAGCTAGATTCCGAGGCAAAAACCACCCTGTAACAGCCAGCAACTTCTGAAGGATGCAACTAACCCGTCCAAAACTAATCTGCCATCACAAATCAGAGGAATTCCAGAGATGCGGTGAGGAGTTGACAGCTGACATCCTTTGTCCTCTGTGCTACACACAAACGATCCTGGTGAGATCACTTGTTCGCATGCATCTTGGTGCTTGCAAATATGCAAGTGCGTGAATGATTGAATGAAATCTAGAGAGAGTAAGTGTTAGGAGGCAAAATCAACTTTTTTTTAGAGATTTTGTAAATAAATATCACCTTCCCCTTCCATAAGGGCTTGTACTGAGTTTTATTACACCCTACACCTGTTTCCAAACTACAAGGTACCAATTACTATTTCTGTTTTGTGAAGTTCTGGTACTAGTATTCTTTACCTTGAATTCACTCTTTCTCCCCAAATGCATTTATAAGAAGTCATCATCTCTCCCCATCTCTCGCACTTGTAAAAAAACGTTTACTTTAACAATCTCTGTTTTGTCAGACCAAATCTGTCAGGCTGACCAGGGAAACAGAATGAGTAAGGGTAATTCCCCTCCCGCAGCACAGACGGCCAGAGCTGCACGTGCTACTTTAAATGATGCCTTGCGCATTTCTGTCCCTAGTAAAAGCCCTTCAGCTCACGCACCTTAAGGCATCCCATTCTCCTTTGCAACAGTGCCATCACACCTACCAGTTAACGCCACAACTGACAAATACTTTTCACTCTTCTACTGCCTCCAGGACATGAATGTTGGCCTCTAGCAAAGGGATTTTTTGTATTACTGCCTAAGAGAGTGACTTTGTAATAACAGAAAAGGGATGAAATATTTGAAGACTGCAAAGAAGAGCTTTTAAATCTTCCCAAGAGCGAATGAGGTCTTCCTCCACATTGTAATACCTCTCAGCTATGTTATCGTCACTGTAGTCACTGGTTTGCCTCCCTCCTCATTCTGGTAATTCTCAGTCTAACCCAGGAAAGCCCCTCTCTTTCCGACCCCACCCCCCCACCCCCCCCCCCCCCCCCAAAATTATCCCTTCACAACTTCTGTAGCATTTCCTGCCTATGGGAAGCTTCAAACAAAGCTAGAGGAAACTGTATCTAATGCCACAGTTAAAACTAGATGAAATTGGTTATTGAAGAGTCATTAAGCTTGCTCAACACTTTGCACTTTTGATAAAACCATATTTCATTTGATCTCACTTCCTACCCACTCATTTACAACATCATTCAATGTCCTTAATCATATTTTTTCTAAAATCCAAGAGCGTACATAATATTAAGATCAAACTAATACGCTGCTAGAGGTGTTTGTTCACCCCGAGAAGTCCGTAGCCCTTCTCTGCTATTTTTCTCCTCTCATTTGGCATAGAAACTCTAAGGAGTAACTCAACGCCTTCTCAAGCTTGCGATCCTTCCACCCTAAAATTCAGACAATTTCTAGAACTCATTTTTTGCTTTTCTCAGGGGGTGTGCTTTACTCCCAACCTCACCTTTTGTCTGTTTTGCAACTTAACAAATGAAACCTGCTTGTGATCACTTGACCTGAGACCCCTTTCTTAAGTCATCTCTTTTACAAGATGCTTCCTACTCACTAAAACACTCTAAAATAATATATCACCTGATCAATCAAAACGGTCCAGTCTTGACTTCTGTCCCCAAAGCCTACAAACTTTGATTTGGTCTTTCCACAGCCTTAGCTACACGGCTTTCAACAAATTTAGTTCAAAGTTGTGAGAAATTTGTCATGGTTTGACCTCTGCAGCAGCCTCCAGAACAGCTAGGTTTCAGCTCCAAGTAATTGCATCCTTTGAGATAATATTATATTTGGTTTGCAGAAATTACCTCAATTTTACTCACTGTACTCACTCAATTACTTCAAATTACTCACAAGTCCAGGCGTTCCCACACGTCTCCTCAGAGAGACAAATCTTACAGGTCATTCTGTAGGCTTTTCCAAACTACAGCTCGACAACTCAACGTTCACTGAAATGCTTGGAACTACACAGTTAGCTAATCTGGTCTTCAATTACATGGAAATTGCTATTAAATCAAGAACGCGTTCAGCTCTACTCAATAACTGAAAGACAGTTTGGTAAAAGTTTGTCTGTAATGTTTTCTCCTCTTCAGAGACTCACCTGTAGAATTCGCTGCAGGATTGAAGGAAGAGCAATAAACGCAGCCATGTTGTTCAGCACTTGCATGGTCAAACTCTTCAAAGCTGAAATATCAAGTGTAAGAATCACCAGCAGCTTGTTTGGATTTGAGGAGTAAAGAGAGGCTCATCTTTCAAATTAGGACAGTTTCATTTTACTTCATGTTTTCTCATTTGAAAACCATTTTAGAAATTCTTCTGTCCATCTTTTACACTAAGCACAGATAGCTTTTTGGTATCAGGAAGCAGATTTAAAAGATTTCAATGTCAGGATGCTTCTCCCCACTCCTCCTTCTCCCTGCCCGCATTAAATTTTCTCACATTTTGCGACTGTCTTGGTAGCATCATCATTCACTTTTCTTATTGCTACCAAAAGCCAATCTGCAGCCCTTGCTCATGTCATAGTCACGACTAAAGCACCTAGAATTAACCTTTGCATGCTACTTTTTTCCCTTCATTCCCAACATTAAGAGCCTATATTCACCTACATTCAACTCACACACCCCAGCAACTCAACTTCCTCATAGGGACAATTAGGGTTGCTTGGGAAGTATGCATGATCCAAGTGTATTATACTCTGTTATACCGTTACATCATCATTTCTGGTATCACTTAAGATAATCACTTCTCTGCAGGCATCAGATAATCTACTAGATTATCTATAGATAGATCATCTAGATAATCTAGATAATCTGAGTTTAGAGGAAAAGATGAGTTGAAGAAAGAGGGGCGATGTTTGGATTTGGGTTACTGATCTCTGCAATACTATTCCCACGAGTCCGGGTACAGTTACCAGTTATTGGAGGGAGAGAAGTAGAGGGAGGCCAGACAGAATGTTAACCATAGCACTTTCTTGAAATTTGTTGTGATCCTTAATCATGCAAAACTACCATCACTGTGGAAAACAGGCCTGGAACAGACTTTAACTGCTCTTAAGTCTCTCAAAATGGGAGGCCAATGGGAGGATTCCAGATACGCTACTGTCACCCACACAGATTCAGTGGGATGGAGCTAGAGTGGAGAGCTTAGCTGGCGTATTTGACTTCTACCAATTTTACATATAATAGATAGATGCAGGGATAAGAGTACAAAAAGGCTAGACATGCAAGATGATAGCGTATTATGTCAGAAGTTCCCAGAGCGCAGACTGCAACCTACTTACAGCCCGGAACGCCTTTGTACATGCTGTGCATACTGGCTTTTTAACTGAGACCATTCTCAGTGGACCCCGTTGAGCAGAGGAGACTGTGGTAGGGCATCTCTTCCACTGAAGATCAGAAAAAGTACCTGGCTGACAGCTGCAGCCTACCAAAAGCCCAGCTTGAGCTCTTAGTCCTGTAACCACTACGGTTCAGATCTACAGCAGCGAATTTAGGACTCGAGTGACAAAACTGCTTTCTGCCTCTGCGATCAGTAGAGAAGGAGAGACAGCACGCAGATTTTGATTAGTATTTGGGGCCACAAAATGTCAAAATACTTACATTCGGAGTATCGACACTGTGAAGAACCAGACAGTTTCTGTGGGGACATCATAGCCTCCAGCAGAGGAAACCAGAGGGCCTAAAGTAATCGAACACACCACAAAAGCAGTTTAAAAAAAAAAAAAAAAAGCAAAACTAAAAATCAGGTGTGACCAATATCACAGTTTGACTTCCAAAGACTCACTTTCATATACTGAAAAACAGAATTACATTTCTCACATTATGACTGCAGTGGAAACGACCTGAAGCACGTTAAAACAGTCTCAGAGCAAAGCATTCCTGGATCTGCTTTCAGTCTAACTCACTCATATTTTAGACCAACATACCACTTGACTGGGATCAGAGCATAGGGGAACTTTGGCTCCTGCTGTCCCCCCCCCAATTTCTCCTTCATTTAAGATGCAAACTTTCTGGGGTGGAAACTACCTATATAAAAGACAGCACAGCGAATGGATCCTGACTTGAATAGAGCATCTAAATTCTCCAGGAAGTATGCATGTCTACGATACAGAAGTCAAGTAAATAAAAAACATCATGTAATTAGTTCAATGCATGTACCAAACTAGGGGAGTTGTGAAAAATCATATGTTATTGTACTTGGGAAGCTCATCCTTCACCTGGCGGCCAGAGTCAAATCTTATCTGGGCATCGACAAAGCAATTAGGCATCAGGTGGAACAGGGACCAGAGTGACAGCAAACACCAGTTCAAACCTACCCAATTAGGCAGGCTGGCCATAAGCACTCTGTGTGTGCATGTAGATACCTCCTCTTTGATAAAACACAGTAACCGTCTGTAGCACAGCAAAATCCTCTGAGAAAAGAACCTGAGCTGGTCACCTTGTACACTGGACAGCGCCCAGAAGAAATTACAGATTTTTTGACTTCTAGCCATGCTGCCTCTTCAGATACACGAACACTGTTCTTGGTTTGAGTTCAGCTATGTAAGCTATGTGTAACCGTAGGAGTAACGATGCCTTCAATGTCACTGACACTGGCAAAATGCAAACACAGCCTCAATACAACGCAGTAAGTTCTCTGCAAGAACTCAAGCAAGCTGTATTGTCTCTACCTCTCAAAGACTAGGCTGACGTTAAACTCAATTCGGAATAGCAAAATTCTCCAGCTGCAGCGACAGTAACAGCTAACTATGTCAGCTGCTTAATGCAAGGGTACAAAGTTGGGACCCATTGCCTTCTTTAGCGTCTGATGGACATTCAAGCCAAAAATTTCAACTGAAGCTAAGAACGGAGGAAAGGATGTTGTCTCAGCTGCTTCTCCACTGCTGATACGCGCTTCATTCTGTACCTCGCTCTTATGAGTGAGCACACGCTAGAGAATTTCTCTCTTATGGGGTTAAAACCTTGACCTTTGCGAGAAGAACATGAGGCAGAGCAACATAATGACTGATAGATGGGGAAAGGAAGGGGCATGAGAGGAGAGTTTCTAGGGATGCAGAGACCTTCGTTAGTTCTAATGACATGCTTTTTATTCCCTTACCTCTCGTTGTTGCTGGTTTAAACTGTGTGAATTCCTCTGGCAAAGAGCAATTGTTTTCATTAAGGTATCTTCGATATTTTCTAGCGTTTCGGGGGGAAAAAACAAACTGTAATTATAAAAAAGATTAGATATATTAACTCCCAATCATCCTGCAAAATAAAATGACACTTTTCATCTGTTCCCTACAGCATGCAACTACACTCTAAAGACAGGCCCTGATTTTTGGCATTTTTCCTGACTAATAGAATAAATTGAGCCTATAAAACATTTCACACAATCTAATAAGGAAGATCTTAGTTGTGGTATAGGATATAGCTAAGCAACAAATATGACCACTGCATTTGAGTAGGTGCCCTTAAGTCCTGGTGCTAGCACACGGGGCAGGCATGCATATGCTCACTTTCTGTAGGCAGAATAGTATCACTTCTCTGAGATTTTTGCTTCAGAGAAGCTACTTTCAGATGCCTCTCATCACTGTTTCATATATGACTGATAAAGCTCTGTAACGAGTCTGAACGGATTCTAACAAGGGAAACATTTCTGGTAAGCCAGTAAGAGTAACAGTCACAACCAAAAGAACTAACAACAGGCCGGGTTACCAAACACAGACAATCCATCATATAAAGTTTGTTTGCAAGCCTTGCTAGAGATCCGAGCAGCAGAGTGAGGCAGTCTCATTGCAATTACTGCCACAGCCACGTGAATATAAAAAATGTCACTGTAATACCTAGAAACCTGAATCATGAAAGAGGATCTCATTATGCCAAGTGTCAAACATACACATTTTACATTCTTGTATTTGCTGCTTCTTTTTAATAGAAAATGGAATCTAAATTTATAACTCTTACTTTCATCATCTTGCGTAAGCTTCAGCAACTTGCTCTGCAATCGCTAAAACAAAAGAGAGAATCCAGAACGTTAAACCTGAAGAATCTTGATGTGTTTTTAAAAGGTATGTTTACAAAGGCTCTCCCTCATTTAGTTCCTCAATATGAACAACGCAGTACAAATTCCTTTCCAAATACAGAAAGGAAAACAAAAGCTCAAAAACGGATTGTGTTTTAAGAAAAATTCCAGCATCTATCTGTTATGCTTGGAAAGACAATCTTCAAATCATGCCAGAAAAACATACTGATGTGCTGAGTCTGCAGACAACCCAAAACATAGCTCTCTGACAGAAGGCAAATGCTTCCATGCGTTCAAGTGGGAAACAAACTGAGAAGCAGTGACAGTATCAAGCCTTAGCACAAGCCATCATGCTGATGAGGAGCCTGGCAAAAATGCCACATTCAGGATCTCCGCACCATACCTCGAGCATAACCAGAAAGGCGCCATGGATATCTCCCTTCTTCTCCAGTAAATACGAGGATGCTTCATGGAGCTGATGCTTCTGCGTTATCTGAGTTAAAATAAAAAGTGAATTTCTATCTTAAGAAATTGGCCAGCATTTGCTTTGTTTACTTGATAAGACAATGACAACTGGATGGTCAGAGAGGATTTGTCCCCACATGTTTACAGATACACGTCACCCAGTCCGAGCACCCCTACTTTTCCCCATACAGGCTACATTGCATTTGTTTCTAAATATTATTGCTACCACCAGCATCTTAAAATATATATACAAATCAAGATCAAGGACAGACTATTAGTCAAAATTTTTGTAAACACAAGAGACAGGCAAGCCTCCAGCACGAGTCAAATTTTGGTGGTGTTTTCCAAAAAAACTGGTTCCTATCATTTCAGATGCCTTCAACACATCAACCAACATTCCCAGCACAATAAGGAACTCTAATCCTGTATTCTAATCAAATCGGAAAGCATGGTTTTCTTTTCCTATGCACCTGTTTTCATACAAAACAAAACCATCAGAAGCCAATCTGTATTCTGCAGTTACTCAGTAGATTCAGTACATTAATGGCCTTTTCTTATTAGCCCCGAGACTAAATTTTGAATCAGTATATTAAGTATAGCTAACCATGCTGCAAGAGAGCAGTTTTGGAGCTTGAGAGGACCAGCAGTGTTGGAATTGGATTTGGAGAGCATCTAGGAAGTAACCCACACCCTAAGCTAAAACTACTTTTACAGTACTTTAAAGAGGTGGGAGCTGATTTGAAGGCTTTCCCTATAGCCTCTGTCCTCATTCATCTCCCTCCTACCTGGATGGTTTCTTCCAGCCTGCAGAATTCCAAAACTTTCAGCGTCTCCAAAACCTGGTCTGGGCTGTAGTGACACAGCAGCTCAACAAACTGCTCCGTGATGCAGGGCGGTAAGTGTATCAGGTCCTGATTTATGCCTTCTCTGGAATACAAAAGGCATAGGAGACCCGTGTCAAACTCTACCCTGGCCAGAAGCCTGGCTGAAAAGCAGATTTTCTTCTTCAGCTCTACTTTGTCTTTCACACTTAATACAGAAGGGGTGGGGGGACACAGTGCTTTTAAGGGAAAAATTATGCTGTCTCCACTAGGTACTGGAAATCAGTTAATAGGCATTCTGTTTGTTCCACGACAACTTCCACTGATTCCTCAGTATTACCCAAGACCCTGGGAAGAAACATTCCAGCCCAGACGCTGCTCCAGCAATTCTATGGAAAACAGATGCAAGGAATTCACCTAGTTCTTTGCTGCAGCCTTAAGGTGGCTGAATGGTCTTTTTAGATTCTGATCATCTGTTTGTCCTGCAGACCTGCCCTGCATGTGTTTGAAGAAAAAGTTTGTTGATTTTTGCTCATTAATCCTGAAGCTCTTCTTTGACCTGCTTCATCCTTTTTTAATGTCTCATCTGCTAGAATACAATCCCTTGTATCGACTTCATTTAGATACGACTTTGTGCTTTTTTCTGGAAACAGCCTCATTTATTTAGTTCCCCCTTCTCAAACTGAACAAAACTGTGGTGAAGTGGTTTCTGTTCTTGCAGAGACAATGACTCTATGCACATTATGATCATTAGTTCAGCAGATCTCCAGCTGAAAGGTTTTGAACCAGGTGCTGCGTATTGCTCAGGACCAAGCCAAAGGCTGCATCCTCTCAAGGGTTTGCAACCAGCTGCGCCATTTGTTTCCAATTAGAACCAAAAATGTCCGTCTTGTCTCTCATCACATAACCTGCTCATTCAATATGGGTAGGTGAAGTCTCCAATCTCTGCTGTGTTTCCAGCCCTTGCTGTCTCCCTGACCCCCTCTGGCTTGACACAAGCAACGCTGCCAGGCTAGTCAGAGGCACTCAGCAGCGCAGACATGACATTATTCTCTTCTGCTTAAGGCCGTGGCTGATGCTGCTTGGCATGAGCTCCTCCGAAGGCCAGACTAGGGTTTCCCTTCTGATTTTAGGCTATGCGATTTCTGCAGGTGAAGCTCCGAATACAAGTAATAAATTCATTTAATAAAGGTGTACTTTAAAAAGGATTCTTCCAGGTCCTTTCCAGTAACAGCTGTTGGCACTACAATATTCTGCGCAGTGGCCATTTTCCAGTCCCTTGGCTTATTAAATATCCTTCTAATGTGGCAGCAGAACTCACAGCACAACTGTGCACTGTGCCTGTCACTAGCCATGTGTACTGATTGCTTTCCACTCATCTTGTTTCTAAGAGCAACCACAAAGCATGAGATTTCCAAGATTTAGGATAACGAGGATGACCCTTTCCTGGAGAGAGGGATAACACCTACAACCCTGCAAACTGAACAGCAATTCATGACCACTGTAGATTAAATTCCTCGTGCGGAGAAAGAGCAAAAGTTCATCTTCCGTAGGAAACAGGGCTCTTAAGCCTATTCTGAAGCCTTAGCCAGAAAAGAAAACAGACCAAGGTATATATTTAGTTCTCTTACCTTTCTGAACAGAAATTCCTAATCAGGAGGTGATATGTTGATGGGCAAACCGTACAGCCATGGCATGGAAGAGGTCTAATATACAATCCGAAACTATCATCTTCTGGGAGCTACAAAGGCTACCAGGATTATTATCCAATAAAGGGCAGCAGAGCACTGAGCCCCTAGCACACCAGAAGCAGCTTATCATGATTACAGTGTGAATTGCTCGATTATAAATGATATTTGCCTAGAAATGAAAGCCTCGCAGGTACCGATGAGAGTGTCCAAAGTATCCAAAGTGTCCAAAGACTTTTGCAGGGCCAAATAAACAACCCTAAAACCTAAAGAAATCAGCTACCCTCCTGCATTTACCATCCACTCCCACAAATCAAATCCTAAACTCCACCCACACATAGAAGGGAGCAAGCGTTCTCCTTTTTGGTACTAGACCAAAAAAAAAAGTGCTTTCTGTCTTAAATGTCCGTCTACTCAAATAAATTTCTGTCTACTCAAATATAAAAAATGGCCAGTCTTACATTTTTAGTATGAGAACAAAGATTTAGTGTGGGAATAACCCTGTCACCTAAAATTCATGGCTTCATGGGCAAGCCAACCTTTTCCTTAACTGTTTCACTTAAGACATCCAGAGAAGAAAGAAAGGAAAAATTGCTGAACTTCAAGAATGTCAAAAACTAACCAAGAGCCTTGAGACTTGCAGGTCCTGCTCAGTTCAATGTGATCAAGAACCTCTTCAACATAGCCACGCCAGACATCTCCCCTGCCATAACCTACAGACTCTTTTCAGGAAGGAAGAGATCATTACTGACTTCTCACAAACCCTGGCACAGGGGAGTTTTGCCATGCCATGGCTAGCTGATCAATCAGAAGAGCCACTGTAACAGAACCTAAAAGTTTAGGCATCTGTTAATATGTGTATAGACCCAAAACACCATGTTGCTAAATACATTAATATTGTGGGAACACAACTCACAAATTATATTGCAAACACATACGTTTCAATGCATTGGTTTACGGAGGAAAAAATTGAGAAAGAGTTTAAAAATGAAAACAAAGCAAAGGCTATGATGAATGAACCTCAGTTCATTGCGTACGTGACATACGCGTTGGCATATGCTACATTCTCCGCTTTCTGTGGCTGTTTATAAGATATGGACATACGGACATTTGGTTTTAATTTCCCTAGACGGTTTCTATTAACCCTGTTCCCTCTCTTCCTTACCCCCCCCCTCCTGCCTTCACTTCTTTCCAATGCCTTTAAAATAAATCTCTAGCTAAATTAAATGGGCCAAAATAATCCCTAACGCAATTCCACCGAATCAGTACAGTTACACTAGCATCATGAGTCTTGTTCCCCATGTGATCAAGCAGTCCTTCGTATCCGAGACATTAAAAGATCATTTGCTACACCAAGAGTCCCTCTCTTTATAAGAACTTTGCTCAGAAAAAGCCTATAAACATTTTAACTAATTGAAAAGAGACAGATGTTTTCAGAAAAACCTAATCATAATTTTATGTATTGATACACTACAAAGTATAGGTACATCTGCGGATTAGGCCTTGCACAGTAAGATTTCTCCCTCCTCCTTCCCTCTGGACATTGTTCAGCTCATTTTCATATGTCTCAGAAGGAGACAACCTTATTGCACTGGTAACAGACCACAGGATCTTGGCTGCTACAAAGAAGTCATTCCAGTCATCTGGCATCCCTACAGAGCACTTCTTACCGCAGTTTAATATTGACAGGTTAAACCTTGGGCTTCTAGTCCTTTTGCTTTAAGGGCAATCACTGCTACAAGGGAATTCAAAGTATTCAGTAGTACTTGTTTCATTTTTCTGCACAAAAGCCCCACTTATCTTTTATTTATTGAGTAGTCTGGGATCTGCAATCCAGTCAGTATGAGGTTTACCTTCTTTACTGGGGATGCTGAAAATCATACTGCAGTGCAGAGAACTGCTGGACTTTGGAACACAGAATAGCAACTGTTCACATAAACTTTGCTACAACGCACAGGGCACGACAAGACAAGCCACGCAGCCTGATGCAGCTTGCTGAATGTCAGCCTTGGAGGGAAGAGCAGAGATCTTTTTAAAGATCAGATACAGAAAGTTGTTTCCTTTTGCTGGTTTGAACATCTGATGCGTTGCTTTTGATTAGAAGACAACTACATGAGAAATGGCTGCATTTGGCTCTAATTATGGTGGAGCTAGATTAGATAGGTTCATTACTCAGAGATTATGGAAGACATTCTATGCGTAAGATTAAAATCCAGGTTAATTGCTACCTTCATCGGGTCTCACTTGCTGTAAATGAAGTGATATCATAGCATAAACAACAGTCCTACTTAACATCCAGCTTGATATAATTTCTGCTTAACTAAATCATACAATTTCTCTACCTACAAAACCCAACCAGGATATTTGCTTGTCAAAATTCTGATTTTATATTCTGACTTCTAAGAAACATGATACATGTGAGAGCTAACCCCTTCCATACCAACATGATTCTAACACTTCGGGAAATAGCAAGGTAAGTCTTTTTTTTTTTTTTTTATTTACATCCTAACAAAACTCAAAAGAGTGATTATTCCCAAGTTCTAGCTTCCGAAACATGTTTTTTTTCATTCAATTCAAATTAGAACCAAAACATTGACACTTGAGTTTAGATAATATTACCTTTTCTTACTACTCCTCCTGATAAAGCACAATAATTAATTTGTAGCTAATTGATAAAACAAGATCTCTCCAGAAAAATCTTAAAGTGAATTGCATTAACAATTGCTGGAGGGCAACTGGAGCTGTGCAGATATAAATCTCTTACAAAATAAATAAGTAAAATCAGGGGCTTGTAGCATTTGAAACTGATTCAACAGAAAGAGAACACTCAGTGCTGAAATACTGAAAGAACAGGAGCAGATGGAGCAAACAACTAGTTAAAGAGAAGTTTGCAATGAAATATGGCAGCAGATCTGAAATTAGAGATAAATGAAAAATGCCAATAGACCAAAGCATCTTTCTATTTATGTTAAATTTTGGGCACCTCAGTGAAGTAATTAAACCAGTGGGTGCCTGAGAACAGAAACGGCAGATCAGTCACAGGGTAACCATTTCACAGCCTTCCCAAAAGAGCTGGTGCTGCAATGCCCAAACTCCCACCAACGTGGGGGAAGCATCACACTGCACGTCCTGGAACCCACACCACTTCCCATTTAGGAAACCAGACGTGGGCTCTGCTAAAGAATGCGCCACAGAGCAGCGTTATTTTTCCTTTCCTTGGGCAGTCTGAAGGGCAAGTCTCCTTTTCTAAGCCCTAAACTTGCATGTAGACCACATACTGTTTCAGAGGAATATATTTTAACTCGTATTTTAAAGCAACGGTTTATAAATGGTCCAATTTTCTTACGTACCTTGGGTCAAGAAGACTCCTCAGAAACTGGAAGAGTAAGAACTGGTCCTACATAATAGGAGGAGACAAAGCATTACTACTTTAAGCAGCGTGTTATAAACCAGCGATTCCTGCACTGTATCTATTGAAGGAAATACTGTTCATGGCTGGCGTTCGCTCAAGAAGTCGGTTTAGGCACTTGCCTTAAGTAAACCCTTATACACCACTTTCTTTGAGAATCTGTTTGCTGACACCGGGTCTGCCCGACCTCTGCGCGCAAGCCATACTGCACTCCAAACTGAAAACTGCGCTATCAAGTGACACAATTAGCAACTTGGTGATCATACATTTTTATGGCCAGACCTTCCCAAACAGGCCAAATAATTTAACACAGCAATTCTTGCAGCTGAATAGCTATAAACCTAGTTTATGACACAGTGGCAAACTCACCACTACTCTTGGCAACCTGGGAAGAGAATGAATGCACCAAAGGGTGTCACGTGTCTCTTACAAGCATGGCAACCCCACTGCAAAGAAGCACCAAAGAACTTTTACACTTTACCTGAAGGTTTGTAATGATGCGCTCAATCTGCTCACTGAAGTGAATGGCTACCAAGTCGGCTGCTTTACATGGGCTCAGCGACAACAACTCCTTTGGAGGGAATCACAACAAAAATGATTACCATTAGTTTTATAGGCGATGTAACTACATAGCCTCACTGAGTCCATTCATATTGAAGTCCATGCATACCAACTGCATCTTTACCTAGATGAAAGCTCTAAAATAATAAACACCGTCACCCAAAAAAGGATTTGGAAAAAAAAAATTAGAAGGAAGGCAGTTTGGAAAAAGACACTTTTGAAAGTCAATGATTTAAGTCTGCAACAGTAAGAACGCAAAACTCTTCACACCAGTCAGACAGCATCTCTGTCCTAAGGCAAGGGAATGATTTCATGAGGTTTTCTGACAATGGCCTTTACTCCGTGCTGACGGGACCAGCTAGTGCCAGCTGGGAAGAGTGCCCAGCGGTAAAGAGGAAACAAAGCCATCAGCTGACTCTACAGGGCATTTCTCAGTCAAATGGAAACAGTTTTTAAAGACTACTGGCCTGAACTAAACTGTAATCAAAGGTTTAGAACAAGTTTCCTGAAATTGCTAATTCCCCTGATATCCGTCCAGAACTGAAAAAGCATCCTTGAATAATCTCTTTACTGTCATCAAAGGAAAAAGAAAAACTTTAAGATGCCTGTTGTTCGTCTCCTGCCAAGCTTGATCTAAAAGATCGTACAAGATTACACAAGTTCACACAGCTCAGAATGAGTTTTCAGCTCCTAATGCTTTCGTACTTCCAATTGAGAAGCAACTGCTTCAAACATATTTTTGGTAAACAATAACCCTTCCCAAAACCCCCTGCTAAGCCTACAAAGGAGAAAGTATTGCCTTACAAAACAAAAACAACTGTTAAAAAGTGATACAGAAAGAAAAGCTTCATAAACACATAACGGAAAGAAGAAATTTCTGGAAAAGCTCCCTAGCAGTAACTTGGTCTCCAAACACATGTTGCAGCCACCGATTCAGCTGGTAAGAGTACCAGACCAGGGTGAAGGGAAGTAAGGAAGCAACAAGGCAAAGTGTTACTGTTCTTTTCCAAGGTGAAGGACCTAGCCACAAGCTCTCTAAAGAAGATATACATCAGAAGAGGTATTCTGTGAGTTTGGCAAAGGAAAATTTGCTCGTTGTATGTAACCCAGAACATGAGAACATGGAACTACACCGCTTCTAGAGTAGGCAAGACAAAGCAGATCTGCAGTGTTTGACCCCAGAGCTTTACTGCATGAGCCACAGCTCTTCATTGTTTCCTTAGTACCAAGGAGCATGACTCATTCACCTAACAAGCCAAGGAAATACCATGGATGCAAAAGGTCTCAATAACAGCAGCACAGTTAGAGGAACACAGGAAGGATGTAGTGGTCACTGCCTTAAGTTGCCTGGACAGTGGCTGGAGTCAGATGGACCAGCCTCCCTATGACTGTCACTTCTGGATCAGCGGTGAGCTTCACAGCCTCCTCCACGCAAACTGTCTTGGAGCTTGGGTTCTCATCTTAACCCAGGCTTGAATAATTTGCAAATATAGTACTTCTTGAGCAGACAGCCCTCGAGGAGGCAGTAGTAACACAAGGCACGTGGGTCTGAGGATAGAAAGTGACCCTCACAAACAACATTATGATTGAAAAGCAGCTTTAGACTTTACTTTGAAGATGATAAACATCAAAGAACCATCACTGTGTAGAATGATGGAGAGAATAAGAAATGGCATTGACCACAAACTCTACTGTGTGTGTCATACGTCCACCAGGAAGAACACTGCTAGTTCCCACTGAAAAGGCTGCTTTGCTGTTTTCATACCTCAGCAGATGAAAGGACAGTTGTTCAAAGCCCTGAAATCACAGCATCACTCCAGTAAAACTCTATTGTTTTAAGTCTTGTGAAAGTTTGAGAGCAGGATTAATACACTGGAAGAGAACAAAAGCCAATGAGTTGCTAAGCCACATGACATTGCACAATACTGTTCATTGATGCTGCAAAAGGAAATATGCCAAAAGGAAAGAGGAAGTTGATCTCAGTGACAGCACCCAAAAAAGGTGACCTACAGAACTGGTCATCTTCCCAGTAGCTTTTCCAGGGAAAGCAGCAAAAACCAGCAGAGATAAAAGTAGCAGGCTCCTTTCGGCAAAGATAGTGGGACAGTGCAAGAAATCTTATGTCTAAGGATGACCATGGACAAGTTGAGAGGAAGATCTGCAATGCTGCCATTGCTTGTCAGCATCAGAAAAATATGCAGCTCTGACAAGCAGGACACTGGGCAATAATCAAGAAGTGGCTCCATCAGACTGGGGAAAACAAAAACAAACAACACAATATGAAAACTTGGCAATCTTGGCCTATGACAACCTTATCAAAACTGGTGCAACACAACGAGAGACATCAGGAAGGGCAACCCAGGACACTTCTGATCTGTCCTGAGACACCAAAGCATGGAGCAGCAATTGTCAAAGCCCTCAGGCCGAAGACACCCAGCAAGCAGACACATCTGTGACTTGAAAAAGAGACAAACTAGCGCTTACCAAGTGAGACTTACTCAGCCATAAGGCCAACCAACTTGGGCTGTATATACCAATACAAGCAGAGGCAAGCGTAGTCAGCAGGAGAGAAGAACCAGACAGACACAAGGAAGCAGCAAAGGGGACAACACACTGTGCTCAACTCAGAAAGGCCAGCATGGAAGCACAGTTGTTCTGATGAGGCAGTAATGAGTCAGATCTGTTCAGACAAAGCACAGCCATCGCCACCACCAGCAGCACTTTTTGTAGGCTCCACAAGTCACCTGGAAAGTGGATGTGAGCTCAGCAAGGTGCATGTCATACAGCTGAATTCAGAGTAATTTTTTGTTTACTGTCTTTTGAATCATCTTCCTCTTGGTGCAGTTTCCCATTAGCCATCTGCTACTTTCAGATACTAGCAGAGACCGGAAGTATTCCGCATCTTTCAAATGGTCCCTAGTACTTCTTTGTCCACCTTGCAGGATATGGATTTCTGTGGCTGTTTCTGGGCAGGTGTATGACTGCTTGCTTTATAGACAAAACTATTTTCCTGGCTCATCCGGGAGGAGGATGACACCACCTTGAAAAAAACTAAACGTAATGGATTCCTCAGGTCTGACCGGACAATTATTTTAGATACATCTTCATCTCCTGAAGCAGAGGAAGACTGAGGAGATGGGAAAGATTATTAAACAGAGAAATTTAGCAACAGTTGTGTCTCAGGGTAGAAGTTAGGTCTCCATCTTCCTGCAGGATGGAAGTGCCCAGGGTACCAATACTGAATGTTACTAACACAGTAGTACGCCTTCACAGATATCACAGATTGTGAGGCCAGCGATGTCAGTGTCCTGACCTTGCTGCTGCAGGCTCAGGAGATGAAAGATCTGCTAATAGATCACTTCCCTATTATACAGTGTGCGCTAGCCATCACCTCCTGATACGGTTGCAATATCCAAAGAGCAATGCTTAAAACCAAGGAAAAACCAGCCTGAATCCATGAGACACACTTTCACTAACGTATGACGTTACTAAAACCATACAAGCATGCTGAAAAAAGTCAGAGCAAGCTGCTTTGTTCAAACCAAAGGCTCAACAGAAATAACAACAAGTTTTGCCCTTTGTATTCCAAGATTTTCAAGATCCTGCTAACTGGAGGTCCAAGCTAAGACCCGTTAAGCACACAGATGCATACTGAAGGATTTCTTGAGCAGTTATCTGATTTTGTCAGCCATGTTCTGAGCAGTTCTGACTTAACCTTTGCTTGCCTCAGTTTCTCCATCAAGGCACTCCCCTCCACACAAGACAAAAGCAACCAGCACTCCGTGCAGAGTGAAGTGAGAGTAAACGTGTGCTAGACATCACCCACTGTAAGGCAACGTTTGTAGCTATTTTTGACTTCCTGTTTGTAACAATACCAAAATCTCCTTTTCTTAAGGCTTACCAAACAGCTGTCACTCAACATAGAGACACTTCTGCTTACAGAGCAACACTAGGCAGATCCAGGATGAGTTAGCAGTAGCTCAGATACGCTGGGTTTAGGCCACATTGTACCTCTATATGGTCCAAAGCTTTCTGCCACACTGACTGCTTCTCTTCAGCACTGTACCCAGGCATAGACAGGATGTTGTGTATGTAGTTGTATACTTCTTCCTGTACGGCATAAAGACATAAACGGTAAAGTATGTTCCACACCCACATTAACAGCATTAGGTTTTATCAAGGCGTTTCACACACGCACACGAGAAGCCTTGACTACAGCTAAGAAAAGGCAGGACGGTCTTAAGGTAGAAAACTAAAGACCAGAGTTGCTGTGCCCATTCACACCCATCACCAGCAGGGTGGACTGCACTGCTGTGAAGCAAGGTCAGAAGCACCAAATTTACTCACCTTCCTTACTGGATCACGCAGGTAACAGCCAATGATTTTGTCATAGCGAAGCTCTCGTTCATACATGAACTCACAAATCTGATAGCTAAAACGAAAAAGATATTTTCTGCATTAGGAAAAACACGCTCACTCAGCTGGCTCAGCAGAATGCAAGCACATAGGCCAGACACAACACAGGCTGGCAGGATACCTCTGACTGTGATGCCCCAATAGATCTATGCAAAATCCCAGAGGAACATTCCTCCACGTTAGCTCTTCCAGAAGCTCTCTCACATCCTCTGGACACGTTCTAGTCCTTAGCCACCATCTTTATGATGCTCCCCCAATCATTTTTTAGTTTCAACAAGGACCAGAAGATTTAACTCCGTAACTGTTGCTGCAAGACCAGCACTTAAGAGAACATACAGCATGTTTTACAAAAAGCATTCAGAAGTGTCTTATATTAAGGCTTTTAGTTTTGTAAAAATCACACAGGTTAATACAGGAGCTCCCCTCCCCAAATAAGCATCTCCTTGGGGGCTCCTACTTACATATCCCACTTAATATCAGCCGCAGGCCAACCAGCTTATGACCTCCCCCTTTTTGGGAAGTCATCCTACAGAACAGAGAGACCAGCATTTTTAAGGTGAGAGGCAAGGGACACATGACAAAAATCTTTAAAGAAATCAGGTTTCACGGGTTCACAGATCACCTTGCTTATTTCCATAACACATTCAGCTCTAAGCTAGGCCAACGTACAATACTAGCTCCAAGAAATACACTGAACATGGCTCAGCAGTGTCTTATGACACAGTAGGCTAGCTTCAATTCTTAAGAAACATCTTTAATATTTTGAACCAGGAAGATATCAGATAAAAACAGCGTGTGACTGAAGCAAAACAAGTCAAAAATCTGCTAAATAACTTCACACCGCAAGTCTTTTAGCTCTGACAGCAGTGGCTGAACTGGTGCTGCTGCCTGTCATACTCTCTCAAGCAAGGAGAAAAAAAATCCATACGGATAGTTACGTGATCAACGTGCTTGTGACTCTGGTTCTCAGGTACTTGTGATGCGTTTCTAAGTCCTACTGGGGCTGAAAAATTTGGTCGAGTAATTCCTTCTAGGACACACAGGAAAACAGGCAAGGCACGCCTCATCCTTTCGCTTCTATCCCTCTAGTCCTTTGTAGCACGATGGTAACTCACATAACATCCAAATTCAAGACTTGGATGAAGATGCCCGGGCTGACTCAGTCCAGGCATGACAGACACTTTCCAGAAAGGTAAAGCAGCTAAAGGAGATGGTGGAAATTTTCAGTTTTTCCAGACACTGCATTTGTCTCTCCTACTCAATTCTAAAATGAGTAGCATGGGGGTGGCTCCAGACCCTAGCGTGCTTATAAATCCACCTGTTGGCCTCACCCCAACCAATCACCTCCATCTGTCAGTGGTAGAGCATTCGAAAAATACAACTGCACCTTTGAGCAAAGCCTTGGCTCTAGGATAGGAAGTGCCAAAGCTCATCAAGCTCCACAAAGTTTCACTCTAAAAGGTTCCCACAACTCTACACAAGCATCGTTAAGGTAAGAGGAGGTGTGAACACCCAGTGAGACAAAAGAGAGAGACTGGAACAGATTAAATATGAACTGATAAATGACACACACATGAACGCACAGGGAAAATAATCCCAATCACTACCGCAAAACAGGAACAGGATATCTGGGGGAAAAAAAGCTTTGGAAAAACTTTTAAAGGCAATATTTATATACTGTGCACACACACAACTTACAATTCAGCTTTTTCTGCCATTTGGATAAGGCGGTTCTCTTCAAACTGTACTATCCCTCCTGCCTGGAGCAACTCTAAAAGGACCTGCAGATATTGAAAAATAGTTAATTATATAGCACTGATACCTGGACAGCCAATGCTGTTTTAGAGCACATTGCTCCTGCTCCAAAGAACTTTGTATTAACATGGGGGTTATTTTACTTTTTTTTTTTTTTTTTTTTTTTAAATCAGTTGTCCACTGTGAAGGTCATTGGTTTCCCCAGGACTTTTTCTGCCTCTGTTCTTAGCACTGTCAAACCTCTCCTACAGGCAGTGGGAGGAAGGACCCCGCTCCACTCTTGCTGCACACAGCACTGCCCAAGTTTTCCACGCTGACCACCACTCCTATGCTAGGCGACTGCTTTGGCAGACGATCTTCACTGTGCCTTTCAGCCAGCACCCATTCCTCAATGAGGCTGAACTCAGCTCTAGAGTCTGGCCATTCAACGTACCTAAAGAAATGTTCCTTTAAAGGCCGTTACCTGTTGCCTCTCCGAATGGCGAGAGTCATCATCAGGACTGCACAGAAATTCAAGGACCTGTGCAAGGATGCAGAAGTTAGCATGAGCTAGGCCTAGTTAGCATAACCGTTGCTCTAAGCCCGTGAGCTTTAACCCACTTTTTGCTGTAGCATAAGTAGACAATATATGATCAACCACCTGTCCCAAATAAGAGAATAGTTTCAGTGTGCTTAAAGGAAATAGATAGGCAAACTATGCAAACAACCTCTTCATCATCAAGAAGTGCAAAAGTGCCCAGAGGTGTCAGGAACAAGTAAATCGTGAGCACTAACAGCAAGAGCAAATCAGAACATGAGCACACAATTTGCATGGACTATTCATCAACAAGGTATTCTCTTTTGAATTCTATAACTAAGGACACCTAAGAATACTGGGGTAAACAAGAGGTCCCAAAAGATTCTGGGGAGGGACATGGCACAGTCCTGCAACAGGAGTGACCAAAGGAACCTGCCTTTGCATGGAGAAGTGCTTTAATGCTGGTGGCTCTCTCCATCCCCTGGGACCTGATCCCATTTCTCACACAATTCCAACAAGCAGGCTGAAAAAAGGGCCTTATTGTGCTTCTGTGGTCTCTCCTATACCCCTGTTCTGAAGTCACACCACAGTCCTAGCAAGACGCTTCTAGTCATATGACGCACTAATTCTTCCAGAATTGCTTGGGTTTACAGCACCAGCCACGCTTTCTGTGGCACAGCACTCTATCTAGATTTTTTTCTGTTCCTGGCAAAGAAACACTTGCCTGGTCGAAAAGCGTCCTGTTCACAAACAACGTGTTGTTGGGCTTGGCGAGCTGACGGGCAAGGAAGGTAAAGAGACAGCCAACCTGCGACGGGGTGAAGTCGGAATTCTCTACCATGACCTGAGAAGCATGAGGGAGAAAGGACAGAAATAAAACCAACACAAATTATTCATTCTGCAGTTGCCTTTGGGATAACAATCAGGATGCTGCAACAAGAAATCACTGTATGGCCATCATGCCTCCTCCTACCCGAGACACCTACGCAGTCTCTGTTGCAAGTTCATCCAGTAAGTCAAAATAAGATCCACCCTCTCTGATACTCATCTCTGGCCTGAAGACACAGACAGCAAGTATATCCTGCTCTAAAGCTGAAGAGATAGGGCTTCTCTTCTCTATACTGAAGGGAAGTGCTCTGACTTTGGGGGGTAAAGGGGCCCAAACAGCAGTGAGGAAACCTATGCTTATCTCCATCTCTGTAGTCTGTGCTGATGACTGGACATGCAACAGTGCTCCTGAGCAGAGAAATATCATCACAGGAGGAAAAAAGACAAAATGAATAACTGTGGGAGGAAAAAATAAATTTGACTTGTTGACTTCAAGCCCCAGGCACTGACCACTTCAACTGTGGTACACAGAAGAACTGATCAAACGACTAAGTAATAATTGTGGGTTTGGCAAAAAGTTTGTTTTCTCACATTCAATTAGCTGCAAGTTTATGAATAGTTTGAGAAACCTATAGCTGTGCTGATTTGACTTCAAGTTACAGAAAAGCTAAATATCTAAGAGTTACCACAAAAGAGGTTTGAAACCTGAGGAGCACTTGTCACCTGTCTGGCATGTTTAAAAAAAAAAAAAAAAAAAGGAAAAAAGAAAAAACAGAAAGAGTATGATGTCTCCCAACTTGATGGTCTTAGGCTTCTAAATAGACTAAAATAAAAAACTGCTCCCAAACACTTAGAGAACGTGAAATGCCCCTGCTTGGAGAATCCCCTGTAAGAGCAAGGGGCTTCAACCAGCGTTAGTGGAAGGTCTGCATCAGCCAGGCCACTGTAAGCATACGGCTATTTTCTAAATGCTTTTATTGCCAACGATAAGTTTCTTTTAAATAAAAAGCTCCAAGATTTTTTAATTCTTATTCAAAAAGAGAGCAGATTCAAGACCATTTCTTGAATGGTCTTGAGCCGTTCATGACCAGAATTCTCATAGCACTGAATCCTTTGCCTGCAGATGCATCTAATGCTGCAGCATTTCTCACAGTCACCATCCTTTTCCCCTCCAAGAGCAGGGCTGAGTTGGGTTGCAGGTGGACAGAACTTGCTTGCCGTGCGGCCAGCAGCACATAGTAGAGCTGCTAACCAGGTAGATACAACCTAAGCTTGCCCCAGGAACACATCCCACAGCAGCTCCAGAAGAGCGTGACGCCTCCTGCTGGCAAGCAGCTACAGACGCAACGAGCACGCAACCCAGCACAGGGTTAACTAACATCGTTACAGCAAAGTCTGACTCAACCAGACTAGCAAAGGTTCCCCCACAGTGGCATTATCTCAGCCCCCCACTGCAGCCTACTGCAGCAGCTCTGTCACCGAATTCACTCGCTGGTGCCCTTGCTCTCATCTATCAAGGATGACAGTGACAGGGGAACACTACTTATGATATGTTTATGTATAAACAGCTTCCAAGTGGAGTTACTCATTATTAATGCTGACAGCTTTAAAGAGGAAAGCGAACGGCATTTGGCAGCAAGAACTTTTAATGAGAACATTGTTAAGGAACACGGTCTCCAAATGACAAGTGATTTCTAGAGCACCAGAATGACAGCTCTGACACTCCTCTTTTCTCCCATCTACTAAAGATAGGCCTGTCGATCGGGGTATGTTACATCCCAAACACAGCATTTACAGACACAGGAGCAGGGTTTAAGCAGAAGAACGCTGGCATCCTGCCAAGCCCTATGTTCCCAGGATGGTTTTCTGCTGAGATGGAAACAAGGAGTAGAACGGATGAGAAGCAGACAAAAAAGGAACTTAACAGGGCAGAAAGGAGGAATTTGACATCAAAGTACAAAGCAGGTGAAATCACAGAAACAGAGACCTCGCTATCTCCATGCTTTACGTGCACGAAACTTTGCTTCTAAATATTCAACTGACTGCCTGGGCTGAGGTGAATCCAGGCTCCAGCACATCATCTCAGAGGTGGCATCCAGCACAGGACTGGAAACACCTCACCTAAATTACAGGCTTTACTGCACAGTGATACATATAATCACAGTCAGACACATATACGGAGGCTAATTTTTAGGCATACTCACTTTCAGAAGTATGTCCACAATTCTCTGCTGATATTCCACAGCTTGCTTGTCATTCTTAAAATCTTCAAAAGTCTGCAGGAGGCAAAACACTGACACTTTGAGAAGAATGCCCTCCAGCCCTAGCTCCAGGAATAAAAGAAAACATGAGCAAGCAGCCATATCACAAGGCTGACAACCCTTTAAAGTCCTTTCTGTGCATGTTACCTAAGCCAGGTTCCAAGACAACAATCTGCTCTTTTGTAACTACCAGAACAGTTCTTACATATCCAGGTAAAAGTAGCAGGTCCCAAACAGACAGAGGAAATTGCAGAAACTTAGAAAGAAAGAAAGGAAGATGCCTCTTTACGCAGAAAAGAGATGCAGGTATTGAAACACACTCTACAAGCATGCTATTATTTTATCTGTGCTTTTAAAGATGGACTCTGTTAACAGAGCATTCTACTGCATAATGGCACATGTTCATCAACTTATACTGATTGCCCTATATAAGGTCATAAGGTCAATTTATGACCTTTTATACGGTCATAAAGGACCGTTATGATCTCCTCTGATATCTTATAAGACACAGGTCAAAACTGTTCCTGCATCAAGCCAGTAACCACTGGTTTAGCTACAGCATGAACCTTTAAAGGCATCTTGGAGGCCACACAACCATGACACCCTGATGAAGCAACTGGTGCTGCATTTTTCTCTTGGAGGAGTTTAATGGCTTCTTACCAGAGCAAGAACATTAAGGAATTCCCGAGTGTCAAAGTGCAGCAAGGTACGAACATAAGGATACACCTCTTCATCCACAGATCCCTCGGTTGAATGCAGCCGGATGAGAAATTCGAAAACCTACAATGAACATTCAAACAAACATAGCAGATTTCCTACAGGTTTCAGATAACTGAGAGCACAAGCACATGCGAAAGCAGTATCACGACCTGCTTTGCGTTAAGTTTTAAAACATCTCAGGAGTTCATCAGCGTTCTAACATGAGTGATGTTTCTTGCGGCTTACTGGTAGTAGAAAAATCTTCCCCTCAAGGCGCTCTAACCAATTTCAGATCAATGAATGATCAATGACGGCTGGTAAGACTTGCCAGCTGGAAGATGAAGAGTTAGTCTGGCCTCAAAAGTGCTGAAGGACCCTCAGATGGATGGGAAGCAAGAAGGGTCCCACTGGAGAGATGTCTCAACAAGTCCAGGCTATTCCGACTTCACAGATATGGTCATGGAAAAAGTGATCAAACCCAAACCCAAGAGAGATCTCTAGAAAAGAGCTGGCTCTGTAAACTATGACCATGAATAATACCATCCCAGCACTGGAGACTGAAGGGTCAAAAATGTACCCTAGTCACACCTAGGGAAAAGGAGAGGGAAGGGCAAGGGCATTTCTGCTGCACATGTAGTCTTACAGTAAAAATAAACAGCTGGGAAAACCTCCCCTGGATGCCATCCTGGTGGATGAAGACAAAGGACGCGGTGCTAAACTAAACAGGGCAAGTATTGAAAATCCTTTTTCTCCTCCTGTTATCTCAGTCAGTACAAACATAGAAATCATTGCCATGGACTGGCCAAGAAAGGACCACTCACCATACAAACTGTGAACCAGTAGTCAGGGAGCTTCTTCAGATGCTCCTCGCTGCAGACCCTACCAAACGCGCTGTTGCTGGTACCTCCGAGATGTGAGATGACCCACAGTCAGCTCTCCTCAGAGAGCTATCCAGGGCACAGCTCTTCCGCTTGTCAGTAGTTCGCTTGGGAAGAGCCAGTCAAACTGCTCCAGCACTCTGAGGCACAAAATCCCCACAGCTGCTGGCTCTGCAGAGATTGATTTAAGTGCTACTCAACTCTGCAGCTCCTCCGCTGACTTTCTACCCTCTGAAAGTTGAGCAGGTCTTTCAAAATGAAAGCAACTCCCTTTACTGAGCCACTGACAGGGAAGTCCAGGCCTTCCCAGTGCAAAGAACAGGGCACTGCGCCAGCTGTCTCAGATGTGCTGTTGTCAAAGCTCACAACAGATCTGGCTTCCAGAAGACAGACTGCAGACTGGTGCAGCGAAGGTACTAGCTAGCACTTGCGAGGATGTGTTAAGACACACAGTGGGCTTCCGTGGAGAGCTGAGTGACAGGCAATATGCTCTCCGAGGACAGACCAAATATCCCACCCTCAGGAAATGCCACGTTCTCTCACTTACTCCTATTCCGAGTTAATTTTCCTCTCACCACAGCGGTGATGAAGCCAGGAGGAGTTAGCAGCTTGACTCTCAGATCCACAGCCCCCTTCGGCCTGATCCCCACCTGCCAGCCTGCAACTCGTAAAGCCAGATTGTAACCAGCGTGCTGGATTCAAGTTTCCAGACAGACAGGTGTTATTTAAACCAAACTCAAAGGCTACATTATCAGAGATCACAACAAGGAGATGCTGATGGCTCCTCTCCAGCGCTACTATTGCTGATTATACTTTCATGCTGCCTCAGACCTTGAGCTGCATGCTGTTGCTGTGCCAGTTCTAGAGTGTGTGCAGGAGACAAATGGATTAGGACTGTGGGAGAGGGCAGCAACCCAGTGCTTGACCCAGCACAGGGGAGCAAACCGGTTCGCACGCCCTATGAGGAAAGGCTTCCAAACCACCCAGAGCTACCACATACCTTTACTGCTACGAGCTTTGGATTGGCAACAAAAACCATCTGCTCCTCTGTACTGCACAGAGAAAGCATGAAAAGGAAAGCATTGTCTCTTAGAACCCGAAAACAAAAGTGAAATGCTAGAGACCAAAGGGAAAATGATTTTAGCAGCAGAACTAGCTAGAAACTCAGGAAGGAAAGTTTTTTTATGAGCACAAAGCCATGACCAGCAGCAACTGCCACTTTAAAACAGTCTAGGAGATGTCACCAAAGGGGTTAAGCCTTGCCTTAGGTGAAGCTCCTTAAATAGAAAGGAATAAACATCTTGAAGGCTGATAGAAATAAAGAATAAGGAAAAGAGGTTTATTTGGCAGTGACAAAGCTAACTGTCAGGACATGCAACCTGTGTGTCCAGTCACACTTTTGGGCATAAATTCACTGTGATTTTGGCTAGGCACTCTCTGCCTTTGAAGAAAGCATCACGATACGCTCACACCTGCGCCTCGTACAAATGTGACAATATACGTGCAATGGCACTTGCTGCCTTGACACAGCCTGCTGACCTCTTGAGCAATCCCTGCGGAAGAGGCCATGTCTTCATATCTGAAAGCTACATTCACAGGCTCAGAAGAACGTGACGAATCTGGTCAGCCAGAGATGATCCACTGGATGAGGCTGCAGAGATGCAGCTAGAATCAACCTCGCCCCTAAGGAGGAAAGTAAGATAAGCCTGCACTCTCATGCCACCAAGATCTGCCCAGGATAAGAGCAGCACTTAGAAGTCTTGAGGCAGCAACTGCTGTTTCTAAAGTGCCCTGGGAATATGACCTGGATGTTAGGTGACACAGCTCTTCCTACAGGGACCAGGCAGAAGAGCAAAAGACTGAGAGTACGTTTGTGTTTAGCTCAGGGCGCGAAAACAAGCGGGTGATCCTTGAGAGCCCATAAACAGAGTTTTCTGAAGCATCTAAGAACCTGTCCTATAAACAGGATGGCAGGCCCTGCTCAGGCACAACTCTCTAAAACTAAGGCTGGACAAGACAGGTGGGTCAAGAGAAATGTAGTGCCAGCCCAGTGCCTCCTAGCCAGAGCTTAAACAGACCGAGTAAGCAGACAGTCTTAACAGACTATGGCACAGCCTTCCTCAGGGAAGAGCCACGACAAGGCTGGAGAATATCCACAAGCCACGAGTTGCTTTGGCCTCTTTCCTCAAGAGAAGGAAGAAACCGGCATACCTTTTAAGGTCTCTCAAAGCAACACTGACCATTGGGAAAGGGAGAATGTCTTCCTAGACATCATCATCCCACTGTCGAACAGCGGGTCAGGAAAGCCTCTTCCCTTCGGTGTTGCGGGCAGGGCAAAGTAATAAGGCCATGAGGGAAGGAGCTGTCAGACAGCCTGAATCACAGACCTCAGAACTATCACAGATTCATCTCAGCTCCAAACCTTGGATACAGTCATAGACACTAGCGATAAAAGGAAAGTAAGCCATAGGCGAGACCAATTCGCCCCCTGAAAAAACAGGGGATCACATTAACTGGAACCAAATGCTAGGGTACAGAAGTTTAAGTTCAGAACTGACTACATCCTCTTTTCTTTCCAAGTACCAAAATGCATCTAATGTTAAGTGTTTTCCCAGTTCTGTGACTCCCCAGAACCTCCTTCCTGCAAGCTCTCAAGAGGAGTTCCTGAGATATGCCCAAGGAGAGATGCACTGCAGCGTGTTAAATCTGTTAAGCAGCGGTGGCAAACAATTTCTCAAATATCCTTGTGTGGAGTCAGACGGGTAGCCATCGTTGAGACCGGTAGCTAGTCAACCCCACAGGCCAAGGGTACAACGATGCAGTTAGGAGCACTTGATTAAAATGTGTTCTTCACCATAGTGGAATACTTGCAGTTTCCACAAGGCTGGAAAACTATCTTCAGGAAACACAAGGTCTGGACGAGCAGAGGCGAGCACAAATGCACACTACTATAATTATGACCAAGAAATCAAAAGCCTCAGAGAAACCTGCAACCAAGACCTACACTGCAGAGACATTTCTACCTACTGAACACTACCTAACACCGTCTGCAGTCAGGGCATACTCCACCTCATCCACCCATATACTAAGTATCTGTGGATATGACAGAAGCTAAAGGGTGATCCAGTTTTAAGTGACAGGGCAGAAATGCTCACCCTGCACATGAGAACTATAGCTAAAGGACAGACACATGGCTGTCTTGAATAACTGAGGCTGGATAAACCTCAGTGGTGAAAACATGGTAACAGCACACTAGGATAAGAGCTGACAGAAATGTATCTAACAGGATCTTCATCAGGGAAAATGACCACACTGAAAATGTAATGCTCAGCTGTGCAGCAGAGAGGTCTGGGGAGATAAACGTAGTATCTGACAGTATATAGTATCTGTCCGACACAAACTGATGCTTTAGTAACAGCGAAACAGTAGAAGGAATATTCAAGTGCCACGTTCTTAGACGTTATTTCAGATTCTACTCCGATCAACCTTGCGTTACATTTGAGAATACAGAAAATGTGTATTTGACACGTTTTATGTAATCAAGTTTAGAAAGAAGAGGCAGCAACACATCTCTAGCAACTCTGTCATAAAGAATAAGTTGCCAAAAATAAAAAATAAAAAAAAAATCAAAATCTGTGCCTTTAAGAACTGCATGCTCCCACCCCACAACTTACAAATGAAGGACATCCATGATTTCATTTTTTAAGCATTTCTTTAGTATTTGCAGTGGCATATATTCATATTGCAAGGATACAGCTATCAGATCGTTAATAGTTTTCTACAAGAAATCCATGAAATGAATACAGGGTTTCTTGCAAAAGCCTCAGATGGGAAAGGGTCCTTCCAAAAGGCTGCTCACCTGATTTTTAACCAAAGGTACCAGATCTTCAGGAATATCACCCAACGGATACGCACGGCCTGCCAAGCAGCAGCTGTGGAAAAGCAGGGGAGAGGCATTTTTTAAATACAGTCTGACATTAAATGGATTGAGGCAAATATTTTATTTTCTGAGCTAGTTTTCAGGATGCTTTTAAAACAGGTCCAATCAATTTATTTCGTAAATAGCAAATCACTTGAGAGTAGGTAAGCAAACACTGCCGACAGCAATGCTGTTAATACACGATAAGACAATGCACTGCATGAATTTGCATGCAAAGTATGCCAGTTCTGCAGCAGAAATGCAACAGGGGAAACTCAGGATTTCTCACAAACATGCATTTTAGGAATCAGGAGTAACGCAGATTCTAACGTCCGCAATCTTGAATAGATTCCAGAAAGAGGAATTTGCTAAATAATCACATTAAATAAAATATTTTATTTTCTGAGCTAGTTTTCAGGATGCAATCTAAGTATGACCTCCTGCAAATGAGAGGCGATACAGTAAGCAACAACTGAGTACAGCTATCCCAAAAGGCATTACAGAAAGGATTAAAATACAGCTTTTCACACTACTGAGTCCTTGGCCAAGGCGCACTGTGTTGCGGATTAGGATGGAGAAGGAACTCTAATCAAATTCTAAAGACAAAAACGTGGTCTTGGGGAATCAGCTGCAACCCGAGCTATGAATATCCAAGTTTATCCTGCCTATCCACTCACACGATGTATAACAACAAGCCATTGTAACATTAAGTCAGTTGTACAAAGCAGTCATTGCTGTTTTACATACTCTTAGACCTTAAAATATGCTGTAAGTTTTTGCAACTCTAATGAAATAAAATCTGATGCCACCATTAGGAAGCACCACACATACCCTTGCTGAAGTACCTTACCTTATATATACAAGCAGCTTGTTGCCCATTACCACCTGCTCATCTACAAAACAAAAATCCTTTATCAGATTTTCTTCACAACATCTCATTTGACGTGTGTGTGTGCAGTTGCACACAAAGTAGTAATAAAGCACTTTTCTGTTCTCCAAGATCCTTATATTTGGGGCATATATTTCCCTTTCACCTCCCTTTGTTGGAAGGGACCAGGAATGTTTGAAACATCAAATATCAAAATTAGAAATCCCTAAAAAGAAAGAATTCTGTACCTGTGAGAGATTTCCCAGCATTCAGTGGAGGAGCAATGGCTTTGAACAGTTTCTGTAACAATAAAGAGAGTAAAGTTGCTGTCTCTGCTTGTGAACACCTTTCAGCACTATGCCAAGAAGAGGCAGTACTGCACACACTAGCCAAGGGAACTCCTGAACTCCTTTCTGCTTGCCACCTCTATAGTGCAGGGCTCAAGCAGTTGTAAAAACTCAAAGCAAAGATTCTGTTCGGTTTTAAAACAGAGATCACTGGAGCGTATTCCCCACAGAAACTCTGCTTTCTCACCATATCTTAAAACTAGTAGGAGCAGAGTACATCCAGATGTGGCAAAAGATACTTTCCCCAGCTGATGTTACGGCATACAAGAAAACAGCTTTAGTCCATCCAGATCTAACCCCAGGCGAGGGCCATGCTTACTGAAGCAACAGTTAGTGCACAACTGACCAGCCCCATTTCCTATTCCTGCGTCTTCTGCCATCGGATTTTGCAAACCTTCACGCTGTCCTACCTACTAGCAGGCTCACCAGCAAGCCTCTGGTTCAGGAACCTAGAGTGAAGACTACTTTGACTTTTGAGCTCCAGAAAGCAGAAAACAAAATGATCTGTGCTTATATAGTTAGGTTTCCAGAAGTCCTTCCTAAAATCACTGACACCTAAAAAGTCTCCTTTCTGAGATAATCAACCTAGATTATAACTTGTATAAATTGGACAATATAAGATTCACATTCAAAAGGATACAGCTCTCAATTTTAGAATGGCGATGTAAACGCAAGCAGTTCCTCCACAGTGAAATGTTTTTACATTACAGCTTTAGGCTTCAAAAGAATTTGAGGTATCAAGCACATCTTCAGGCTTAGCAGCAGCAACGACCGAACCTTCAGTCACAACACTCTATGGAGCCCTATGCTCACACTGTTGATACATCTTGCCCAAGTGCTACGAATAAGGCCTGCCTCAACATGGGAACAGCTTCTCTCCCTTTCTTCCCAAGTCCTCTACACAGCTAAGTTCATTCTTTCTTTCCACTGTTCTCCAATATGTATTAATACAGTACTGTGCCAGCAGACGAAGGACCTCATGAAAGGAAAAAAGCATGAGATGCTCACAGAATATCTCACTCCTACACCGGCGTTAAGCTCACTGTGCAAAAAGCTGATACCTTCTCAGCACCCCATCTGGTATAGGCTAGACCAGCCATCAGCAACAGGCTTTTAGCAGACAGTTTTACAATGCAGTTTCCTTAATCTATCAAATGTTATTCTCTTCTGCTGCTTTTATTTTACATTTTCTATTAAAAGGACTTTAAATTTCCTGCCCTAACTTTGCAGAGCATTGCTACTTAAACTTCCCTTTGACAATTTGGCTGATGTTCTAAAGAGTACAGCAATTATAAATCACTTTTCTCCTCTACTGCAGCTAGTCAAATAAACTGCATATATCATACGTTATTTCCCCCTCAGAATCAAAAGAACAAACAGCATATAAACATCGAATGAGAAGATAATGTGTCATTTTCAAATGCTGATTCTCAGAAAGGCTGTCTGCCGAACATGCAAACAGTATCTCAGTGCACTTCAGTGACAGCATTCATACTGTTCAAGTTCTGCAGAAAGTGTGGCAATACCTACCAAAGGAAAGGGTTAAGAGCAACTTGGTACCATGACACACCACGAGCATCTTTCCTACCTCCATGGGACTAATGAAGTCATTCATCCCACTGTTGTACACATAAATCATGGCATCGTAGAGATGGTTTTCCCAGCACAGAAGAACTACCTGCACAGAAACAGCACAATGTAGATACACAGCTCTTCTCAGCCCACTATTTTTTTTTGTTCCTCCTCCTTTTCTCAAATACAATCTCTGTTCTTGCACTTGCATCATCCGACAGGATAACTTAAAGTAGACTAAGAATTTCCATTAGCAGAACTACATGCCCTACAAGGACCCCAAATCCCCAAAGGGAGCATCTAGTTTATTGCTCACGGACCACACATGAAATCTAAATGTCTAGATTCTAGCCTTCCTAACCTGCATAAAGTTACAAAATAAAAATACAGCTCTTCAAAACCCTTGACTGCACTAGCTTGTCTTTTGTCTGGGCTAGTGAATCATTCTGTCAAGTTTGCAAGCAGCTCCCTCCTTGGGATGGGAAGCCAAGCTGAGGGATAAAAACTGGCTAAGGAAAACAGGACTACCTAGGGGGAAACATATACTTGCTCCACTAATTTTGCTATGCAAGAGCAAGCACCTGGGCAGAGCAGGCTGGCAGGCACTGAATTGGTAAACTCAACTCTAATTTTTTGTGTCCCTGCAGTCTTTAATGCTAGGTAAGGTACTGAAAACAGGAAAGACTTTAGCCTAACCAACCCTGACTGCCTGGTATTTTCCAACATATCCAGCTGTTGATACACAAATTTATTCTGGGACACAAACTGGGGGACTGACACATGTTTAGAGGAGTACGCGCCTAACAAGTTGGACCCAGCCACTCTGATCAACGCCTATATTTGGGGAATTTGATTCCAGAGAGGCAGGGCTAAGTTCTGTTACAAATTAGTGACCAAAAGGCAGCAATGGTTTGGGCTACATAAGTTTTGTCCATTGAAAGGTGGCCCTTTATTTTCCACATGCTATGCTGTGCTTAAAAGCACAAGAAGCTTGCCTCAATGACTAGGGGATGTTGCCACTTATTCAGAGGAGCTCAATGCTGTTGTTAGCAGCTCACCTGCTGTATGTCTAAGCTGGTGATATCCATATGCACAATGCAGGCTTCCATATTTTCCAATCTGTTCTTGTCTTGGAAGTGAAGGAGCAAGTCTTTCATCACTTGAGCTGTGATTCCCATCAACTTATCACTTAAGATGTATGGCTCCAAGCACTCCAGAAAGATGCCTTTAGCCACAGAATTCTCACTCATCTTATCATATATCTGGCTAAATAATAGATCCCTGGGAAGGAAAGAAGTTTTAGTTATCAAATAATCTTACTCACATTGAAATCTTACTTATCTACTTTCTAAGGGCTTCAAATTAAACTTCATTTTCTCAGCAGCCAAATGCCCTGTTCAGCTCGTACGCTGATGCAGGTTACAGGCAGCTTCACAGGGTTTGTTGCAGTAAAAAAAATTGCTGTTAGAGGAGAAACAATGAGGATGAAATCTGTCAAAACACCTTCTCTGTTCAGGGGACAGCAGGGGGAAAGGGTTTGAATTAAACTTTTATTCCTCAATACATTAGTGAAAATTTCTTAGAGTACCAAGTACCCTGACTTCAGTATCATTTTTTAAGCCTTCCTCTAACCTAACTGCCTGTGATATTAAAGGAGATAGCACTCAGGACTACATGGGTTAGTGGTCTGCCTTGGGGGACAGGCTTGCAAACTCAGACTTACGTGCGCTGGAGTAAGAGACAGTAGTCAACTATGACAGGCACCATGTCCTGCGGAAGAACCATAAAAGAGCTTTAGGAACTGGCAAAGATCCTGCCAAACAGCACATCCTCCACAGCACAAAATGAAGCGTGGCCAATGCAGCGCAGAATCAGCGAGTTACTCGAGTCAGCTGGTAGTTGGCACAGTTACAGCTTTTCCACAAACCAGAGTTCACTGGGAAAGGGGAGCAAAGCCACTTACAGACTTGTCACTTCCACACCCAGCACATAAGCCTCTCCCCACTCCACCATATGAATTCTGATCAAGACCAAGTGGTACAGTTACAGGTCAAAGCTGTGTCCTACTGGACAGCCCAAGCATCACAAATCTGAGTGGAAGAACCACAAGCAAACATAAGCTTTTCAGCAAAGAAAAAGTGATAACAGGAGCTCATCCACGATCTCTGGGCCATTCTGTTCAAATTCAGGACTTCTTAGGATCTCTCTTAGAGGTAGGGCCAGAGACAGAAATGTGTGTTTTACCACGTCCAGCAGCACAAGCAGGTAAGGGGAAGAAGTCTCCCAGCTCTGTGCAAATGCTTTGGGGCACTCCATTTTCTTTACTCCTTAGAAAGACTTTCCCCGTTTTTCACCTACAGCTAACAAAGCAACACTTTCCCAGGCCTGGGACAAAAAGACCAAAAGAATTTTGACCCCTAGGGCTGTTGCAGCACTCAACAGTCCAGATAAAGCAACGGTATGTGAGGAAAAACTACACTTAGTCTCATGCAATTGTGTGAGCAAACTAGATCTATCAAGGGCTCTGAAACTTTTAGGCCCAGTTTTAGTAAAGATCTATTTCACAGCATCGTAATGTCTAAAGAAACACGTTGGATGCAAAGACAAAAGACAGCCTACTCTAATTTTCTTTCCACCAGATTTAAGCTTTCAAAAGGTTCTTGTAGTCAATGGTAATTTAAGCCTCCAAGGCTCTGTCGCCACCATCCTGAAGAGCACGCAGTCACCGCTGGCTACATTACACTTCATTTGTCTAGCTCGAACAGGGTGAAGGGATCATTATGTCACTGCTCAGAGGTTTCTGACCAGCACGCAGAAGTTAAGAGCTCTGAAGACAAACTTGAACAAAGGCTTCCAAAAGCAGTGACAGCTCACGATATGCAAACAGGCACACTGTGAGGTATGTCACCACTCCTGCAAATCCTAGGGGCACAGATCTCAGATCCAGCATGCAGTGCGAGTTAAACAAGGTACATTAGGGAAACTGAATATGGCTTTCAGAAAGGGAAATACTATTTCACATCTACTATAGGCCTGTGAAGCAGTGAGGACTATGGACAAGGGAAAGCTAGTCAACAGATAACTCAGTTTCCAAAATGCACATGACAAGGAACACCCATGCCCAAACATAGACACACACAAAAAACAGAAGAAAGAAAGAAGGCTCCTAAAAAGTTAGGCAGCCACAAAGGCAGGCAGATACTGGAGTAAGTCATCTTTGGTCTGAATGAGTATGCTGGTTCATATCAGAAGATCTCCAGTCCCACTTCTGCAGAGAACAGAGGGGATACAGGTTCTGCTCTGCCACCTAGGAGCAACTACATCCTTATTTTAACAACGCACACAAGGTAGGCGAGAGTTCAGTAGCCCTGCAGCACAAGCTTCCAAAAATACACAAGTAACTTGCACAGCAACGCAAACGTTTGGTTCAAAACTTCAAAAGATCTGTACATCAGAGTCCTCTGAAGCACCATACCTGAAAATGTTGCTCCATAACCTGGATTTTCCCTTGGTCAGGGCATTTCTTCAAAGTCCGATCAGCATAATGGAGAAGGATTTCAACCATCTGAATTGCAATAAACAAGAAAATGCACTCACATGCTACACTACAAGGCTCTACTAGCACATTTTGTAGGTTGACTTGGGTGGTTGGCAGCACTGCAAACTCTGTTGTCTCAGTTTGGATATGAACTACCAAGGGCAGGAGGAAGAAGAGGCGGGAAGAGGGTACCAAGAGCACTCAGAACAGAGCTGCCAAGAGATAAATGCATGACACGGCACAGAGGCGATTAAGATTAATCACCACACACAATATTGCAGGCCTACGCTAACTTTAACCGACTGAGACGTTGGGCAGCCAATTTGACAGCAAATTTTTAGGCAGATGAACACATCCTGAACATAAGTCTCATGTGGGCCATGTTTTTACCCAAGGCTTAAGTTTTAGTGTCTTAAATAGCAAAATGTATTTACCTGCAAATAAAACATGCATAAAGAACAAAGTATGGCCAAATAATTATTGCAATAATTACGTATTTTAAACACACCTTTGCCAGAATACAGGTTCTGGTGACAACTGAACATCAACAGCCAAAGAGTTTATTCTACGTGTAGAACAGTTGGCATGTTACGTACTGATGGGTGTCTGCCAGCCAAAGGGTGGAAACTCAAGAGTTGGCTACAGAATAGGTTTCTGTCCACTATGAGGGGGCCAGAGACTGGACTGAGAGATCTGTTGCATGTTTTGCTACTGCTGCAGATTTTATCCCCACCTCTATCTGAAAGGTATTTCCAAGTCTCTGCTAGAATTTTGTTCACAATATTAGCAAGTGAGGCAACACATACACTTTCTAGAGTTAGTTGGACTAACTTCTGGAGGACAGAAGCCACTCCTTTCAGCAATACAGCTAGCATCACAGTAGTATGCATGAAAATTCAGCTAGGAAGAAATCAGCGACTCACTCTGTCCGCAATGACTGCTTTCCGCTTGCTTGTGTCCCCAGACAAGCCTAGAAAGAATGAGGAAAAAAAAGAAAGCTTTTCTCATCCAAGCTACAAGCGGAAGTATAAAGGACATTATAAATCCCACAATTGAGAGGCTAGCACCGTTACCCCTGGAGGTGCAGAGGTTAAGATATCTAAATACATGACCTCATGAAATATTTTTAGGCCACTCTTCTGAAGAGCTCATTCTCTCAATGTAATGGCTGTTCCAGCACAACAGCAATGGAAAGACTTGCTCTGAGTGCTGCTTGACAGAAGAGAATGAGTTCAGAGAAATGCTAACGAAGGGCTATCACAGACTGTGTATATGGGACTAATTGCTGGAGGATGCCCTGATGCAAAGGAGCTGAATTTAGTGCACTATAAGGGAGAAAAGCTCTTAAATGCCAATTCAAAAATAAAGCAGTTCTCTTGAATACTACCTACTGGCTAAAGTGTATTATATCCATATGTTAAAACAAGACACATCTTCATATACTGATTATTCCACAGCAGGAGGATCTTATCCTGAGGACTTGAGAGTCATCTGTCAAAATCATCAAAAGTTATTTGCTGCAAAGTGTCCAGTCCAAATTAGTTCAAGTGGCAGTTTCTGGCACGATTAACAAGCTTTCTCACTGCTCATCCTTCTGCACAGGAAACATGGTGCAAAAAGCTAGCAGGTCTTTCGATCAGTTGTAAAAATCAGAGGAGACCTCAGTGAAAGTACCTACTTGGCAGAGCTGACAGAGTATCGCACTGAGGATTATCTTGACCTTCTCATGAAGGTGCAGCTGACCTACAGCCTATAGGTCAAGCACGGCCCACCAGAATATTCTAGCAGACTAGTTATTCAACATCTGTATCCATCTCTTTTGTGGCCAAGTGATAGCAGGTAGCAGTCAAAACACAGACCAGGTCTGATTTTCACTTGAAAATAGCAAGCTGCTAAAGGCGCTATGACTCTAAAAAAAAGCTAAATCAACCTAAAAAGAGCATTGTTTCTGCCAAGCCCAAAGCAGCACACCCTCCTTTCCCTTCTTCAATAAAATGGTCTTCCATTTTTTCTGGAACAGTGATTTCAGTACACGCATAGGTTTAAAACCTTTCCTTGTGGTTTCAATAAAAAAGAAAACTTACCTACTACAGCCTTTGCTTTACCTTCATAAAAAGACCAAGCTAGAGCCAAGGCATCAGTGAGACGCTCTTGTTTCAGAAGGTGGTCAACTCTCTAAAACAACAAGTAATACTGAACTTTAGCATTCCAGAAGACATGATGCCCCACCTGTTTAAGACCAGCATTCCCCCATTAGTTGGTTGCGACTCCTGACAGCCAGGGGACAGAGGAACCTCAAAAGCTCTCAAAACATTGCAATTAAGGATATTAACTCACAAAGATTCTCCCATATGCAAATTTACTCCTGGACAGTTAGAAGGGACAAGAAACGTCAGGCCTCAGTACACCAAGTCCCTGTGGACTCCTCTGTAGGTTAAATGCTTGATGAATGGAGACTCACAGCACCAGGGAGTGTTGGCAAACACAAAGAATCAAAGTTTTCCATCCCCTATCCTTGCCTCATAATTTAAAACACAGTAAAATTCTGCCATGTTTTCAACGTACAGACATGCTCATTCCGCTTTTTATTTTCCTTTAAGCTCAAAATCAACAAAGACTGAAGTAGGTCACAAGTATTTTCTATTTAAAGGAACCGCCAACACAAAAGGTCAGGCAACATTAGTCTGGATCTGCTAGGTCAAACATTTTCATAAGTGTTGCTTGAGAGAAGGGAGATTCTGCAGCTCAGACCAGTATTCTGTACTGCAGCCAAGAACTAACTCCCAGATTCACGTCTTAATACCTCACGGACTTGATAACTCTCAAGTAAATCCTACAATAAAGGAACATCATCCTATCATCTAGCATGAGAGCAGCTATACAGCAATTTAGGAGGAACTTGGCTCAGAGCATGCCAGTTGTGACCGACTTCCGAATTCTAGGAAAACTAGTACATGAAATCATAGGTTAAAGCAAAACTTTTCATTAACAGTTTACCAAACCAGAGGCGTTAGTAAATGGCTGGAAGGAAAACTAGGCAAAGGAAAGTGATCTTGGTAGCCAAAAGCAGAGACTGTTCCAGACAAAGTTTAGTAGAGCTGAACTGTTTATAGTTCATTAAAGACCTTGATACAGATTGCATGAAGGAGCTTGTAATCATGGATGAGTATAAGAGTCCTAAAGCAGGTAAGGGGAAAAATGACGACCGTCATTGCTTAAAAGAGAAGCATGAGACTGAAGGGAAGCGACTATTGGAATTCCTTGAAGATCAGCCTTGAAGATCCCTCTCACATAACGATTTGATACAAGTAGAGTTTATTAATGAAGTTTGCTGATGACCAAGCTGGCAGAGGAAAGGAACGGAAAGCTAATCTTTTAAGAGGGTGATGAAAGAGCTTTGCTTAGCCTTGCAAAACAAAGTCTGGAAGAGAATATGCTTAAACTGAATAACCATATTGAGAAGTCAGCATTTTTTGCTTTCTAGATGATATTTAACTCAAGTGAAAAGAACAGAATGGGAACAGATGGACATAAACAGATCATAACAATTTTAGGATGGAAGCTGATAGGGCTTCAGCTGTTAGAGAAACAATGTTCTGAAACAGCTTCCAGCAACAGAAAAAAGGGTTTAAAATCCAATGAGCTTTCTAGGTAGGTAGGTAGCCTTTGATAAATTTTATCAGGTAGCTGCCTGCAGTAGCTGAAGATAAAATACAGTGAAATAGGTTTCCTTCCATTCTTGTGTCCTTATCTGGCTGATAGAAGGCTTACGTTTATACAGTCCTCAGCAGCTGTTCGGTGCAGTAACTACGCCTTGTTAGCAGAAGCTGAAACATGGTGGGACGTTGTGTCTTGGTTGAGCAGATAAGGTAGAGAACAAGTTCCCTATTTAGTCTTCAAGTTTATGCAACAGCATCTCACTGTGGAAAGCAGTGTACCTACAGTGCTGACAGTGTGTAGCAATTACAAGTCCTGAACACAGGGCTCAGAACATGCTTCACAAGTGCTGTAGGCCCAGAGCTCCCTCCCTCCTATCGAGCTATATTTGAGCAACTCAAGTTTACTAAGCTGTACCTGTTTCCTTTCAACCTACCTCTCTCCAGCTCCTCAACGTCATGACATGAACAGACTAGAAAAGGAAAAAAAAAGAGGTTACTCATTTACTGGCAATTGCTCACGCAGCCTGTGGAATCCCACAGGCCCATCAGAATATTCTGGTATAGATGAAGCTAAATAAAATAACCCTCAAGTTTGGCAGGGCAGAAATAACGTGACTATTTTGCATGGCCTTATAATCCTTCTGCTCCAAGATACAATCCCTACACTTCATACCCTAAATCCCAAATGACACCCTATAACCCACCTCTCTCTCTTTCACTTTCCACACCGTCATCACTGGACTTCTTTGAGTGTAGGTCTCTGTACAACTGCATGACAAATAGCTGCTAAAGCTGGCTCATTGCAGTCAAAGCTCTAGCAAACGGTCACAGATGTGTTACACTCCCATCCTTAGCATCCTCCCTAGGAGGCTATAGTTCCTCCAGCTGGAAGCAGGCCCCAGAAATGCTGTCTCTACTCATGCTTCTTTCAAGACCATCAAATATCAGTGGCCAAGCAAGGCCAGTAGATCAGAGCCAGGCAAAAAGTCCACTGACACAGGCAGAATTTCAGACAAAATCAATATATGACTTAAAAACTGAATATCTTTCTTAGATTTGGATCATGATATTAGCACTAAGCGCAAAAAAAAGGCTACAGTTACACTCCAAGAAAATAGAAATGTGTCTCACAGAAGTCCCTACACAGGTCTAGTCGGCCCTCTTATTTCTTTCCGTTTACTCACTAGCACATTTAGGACAGGGGAACTGATGGTTAGCACGGAGCAGATGTCAGTAAATTAATGTTACATTTACCCTGCAGCAGTATGAACCAGGAAACCGTGAAATTATGACAGTACCTTACTTAGCCCATACCTCGGCTAGAATTAGATTGCTGCATGTTTCTTTAATCCAATAACATAAAGGCACAAAGAGTCCATCCTTGGTCTACATCTCCATAGAATAAAAACTTGCCTTTATCCAGAAGATGTGCTACCAACAACAATGGATGCCCTGTATTTCCATTAAAAACTCCCCACATTTACCTTAGTTCCAAGGTAAAAGATCTGACCACCACAACTGCTGATGGACTGATAACAAGCCTTCTCTCCAACCAATGCCTACAGGGAGCAAAAAAAGACATGTACATCAAACTGCTTTTTGTTTTTGTAAAACATCCCAGGAAACATATCTACACTCGCACTTTAGAGACACTTTGTAATTGAGAAATTAAAATGAGAACTGGGAGAGAAGAGCACAGACCGCTGGGCAGCAGTAAGTAACAAAATACTGCCTTCAGGCATT